ACACACACACACACACAGGGGATGTTTTCTCATTTTAATAAAAATGTGACTGTTATGTAATATAAAATGTTTGCTTTGTGGTGTAACAATGCAATACTCACTCCTCCACAGCTGATGTTTCTCTTCCTTAGCAATCAGTTGAACTACTGGGTCGAGGACTCTGCAGTCTGCCGTTTTCTTTCTCTGTTAGTACTTGGCTTCCCAACACCTTCCTCTGTTTTAATAAACACAAAATCATTAAACAGGATGTGGACAATATTTAAGAAGATTGGGCTGTATTAAAGATAGTTGATAGATTTCTTCTCACATGCATCTGTGAAATATTACCAACATGCATTTCCTTTCTGATAAAACTTTTAATACTTTCAAACTCTCAGCAAAATATATATAAATATTTTAAAATGAATAAATCCAAATAAAAAAGGTATGAAGGCTGAAAATTGCTGTACACAAGATTACTGTCAACAAACCTTGATGATTCCACCTAGAGAGCGTGAACGCCAATGTTTCCTGCTAAATGGTGTTCGAGAGTCAGCCGAAGGTGTCTGCAAAGGCTGCTTCTCAAACTGCACACAAAAACACAACACATGTAAGGGGTTGGATTGCAAATACTTGTATGTTTTTTTTCTCTCCCTAATGTGTTCGCTGACCTGACGTACCTGTCTGATGAGTTTCTTCTTTTTGGCAGACTCGGGCAGGTTGCTGACTTGCTGGTACAGCTCTCTGAGGGCAGATTCAGTATAACTCTGAGTCCCAGATGGCCTCATGGTGCAGGTGCTGCTAACCTCATATCCGACTGTTCGCGTGGAGGGAGAAGGGGAGGACGCTGTTACCACAGACACAGGCCCATCTTTGGTCCCAGAACAGAGTGTCAAGTCATCCTAGAAAGGTCGGAGAGAACATGAGACAATGTTATCTCAATGAAACCAGACATGAGACGTGACAAGAAAATGTGTACAGCTGAGTCACACACTGCACAAACATATGCTTTATAATCAAAATGACATCATATTCAAGAAGTCTGATTTAAAAGGTGGTTTTAAAATCATTCTATTACTTGCCCAGTTGCAGATATTAGCTAGGTTAGCTAGGTAGCTCTAGGTTGTGTTTTTAGACTTGATTCATGAAGGAGCTTAAAATAACTAGACAATCAAGTTACTGAGTGTAATAGTTAGCAAATAAAAAATGAACAGGGCCAGCTTTGAAAATGGCTGTTAGATAGATAAATGCATTAATGAAGTGTTAACACTTTTAATTAAGATGAAATAGAAGAAAGGACAAAAACACTCTCTCACCTTTGATTGAAGACTTTTAGATCCTGTGAAGTATAAGCGGGTATAGTCTTTGATATATGCAGGCGCCTTCAATAAAAGCAAACATGTACATTAAACCCTCTGATGAATGATCACTGTGGAGAATTAATCTAGTATTACCATAAATTAATACAATTGGGATAATTCATAGCCTCACTCTCATTACGTATGCACAGGGTAAATTGTGCGTGCAATCTAAACAATGCCTGCTGAATGTGAATGAAGTAATATACGCCAGTCATCTGGATATAAAGGGCTGCTGATCATGGGACACCTTAAAAAACAAATAGCCTTTATTAATGTTTCTTTCACATGTAAATCTTGTATTCTTCCTCCTTAGCCTTCCTTGTTTGCATTTCTTGTAGCCCTGGCAACGCCACACTTGTCATGAAGCAAAGAGAGCGCACATAATGAAATCACAGAAGAAACCTCACTACCGCATGCTTGTGATGTACACTGTATATATCTATTAAAGGGAAAAATGGAAAACAATCTCTAAAGCTACTTACCTTAAAGAGTTTTTGTGAGTGCCTGATGAGGAATGCTATGCCATTATTCAGTTTCTCAATGTCCCCCTGGAGATCACTTGCCATCACCTGTAATAAAAAACAAATAAAACAATAATATATATTTATATACCTAACAAATTCAGGAAAGCTGTGATAGACTGCAAACAGAGGGGATAGCTGTAACAAACAAAATTAACCTATGGTCCTTACATTTTTAGGCCATAGAATGTGTGGAGCAAACATCGTGGCTAAATTGATAGCAGACATCTTGTTGATGTGCTGATTGCGAGCGGTGTGGTACAGCAGGTCCAGCAGCAGCTTCAACAGGCTGCGGTTGGCTGGAGGCAGCAGCATGAAAAGCAGCTGAAATGCCTCAATCTGGCGTTCCTTGTCAGGCACGTTCGTCTTATCCCCCTTCTCATCAAAGCGAGTCAGCTCTGGACACAACAGATAAGAGAATCAATTCAAAAGTTCAATGGGGGGGGGGTCAAAATTATTTTCTTTACATTGATCTGAATATGATACGGATCTGTGCATTTGTCAACCATCACCTCCAATCTTCAGATGAGCATGATAGTGTCTGTGCGTGAGCAGAGGCTCTGGCAGCTCTCCCAGGTAGGCTTTGAGCAATGTGGCCGCATCATTGGGGTGGAAGTCGCCTGTCTCTAGATCTATCTCTGCCCCAGCATTCAGCATTTCCCTCAGGGCTGCCTGCCTCAGGCTGTGGCCTGGGACGCGGAACAACCCCTCCACATGAAGGTCTGAGGGGTTGGAGAGAAACATGGAGAGAGACAACCAAAGAGGAGGGTGAAAAAAAGAGTTGGCGTGTGTGTGTGGGCGTGTAGACACAGAGTGAAGGAGACATAGGGAGACAAAGACACATAAATGAGGAGAGAGACAGAGTGAATGAAATGGAAGGAGGGAGACAGCAGGAGCAAAGTGCTTTCAGATAAATTATTGACCCAAGCGTTTGCTCCCAGTGTCCACTTTCAGTGAATGACATCATCACTTTCTAGAAATAAACCATGACCTCATGCGAATTCACTGCGCTCCAACTAAGTTAAAGAACAAGAATAGGAGTTAGGACGCACCCTCGATTCTCATCAAATCCAATTCTTGAAGTTAAAGAGATTATTAAATCGAGTAATTATTAATCTGACACAAATACTGTCACGTTATGGATTTGTTTCCTTCTGAGATCACACGTGCAAAGGTATGTAGTCACAGAATCACAAACTGCTTTGGATAAAAGTGTCCACGACATGGCAGAAATTATGTATGTATATTTATACTCACTTTTACTCAGGTATTCAATGAGCTGATAGATCTGTGCTATTCCTTCTTCAGTTAACGGCGCACCAAAAACCACTCCTTTATCTGAAAGGCATCAAACGGCACAGTAAGAATGATTCAGTCTTTGTGACTTTGAAACTAGATTTATACCATTACACCAGTCACTAGATTCATTAGATCTATGTAATAATTTCCATCTATCACATGGATCTGCTTCTACCGGTTACATAATATACGAAAGCAGGAAATATTACGTTGGCAATTAAAACACACAAACAAAACAGATGTAGTCTGCAGATAACTTGTGTGGAGACTGAAACAAAGCATTACTTCAATCGTCAATTAATCTTAATCCAAAGGATTAACTGATTTCAATCAATAGAAGATTAACTGCCATGTTCCTGCCCTGGGAGGATTTGCTGCTTTTCTTTGTCTAATATGATAATAAACTGAATATCTTTAGATCTTAGACGGTTGTTCAGGCAGAACAAGAAATGTGGGTTTTGGAAATTAACGGCACAGTTGGCCTAACCTCAAAGCACCTCGGAGGCTCATTTGTAACATCAGACTCCACATCGCCACAGCACCCAGTACGTTCAAACCTCCACTGATTAAAACTGTGTAACTCCAACTTGCTATGCACAAACATTACCTTGTAATAATTTGCACATGTACAGTTAGTTATACACCGTTTAAAACATATTTTGCACACCTTATTCCTTTATTGCATACTGCATATATAGTGTTAATATTTTCTATTATATCTTTATTTTAACACTCTTTATAGTAGTTTTTACACTTCCCTGTGCTGCTGTGCCAAACTTGGATTCCTCCCACTGGGGGAATCAGTAAAGGAACAGCTTATCTTTATCTTAACCTTTTCGTTTGAGGAAGTTGAAGGAGCGCAGAAAGCCGCTGCTGGGGGGCACTCTGGGCTCAGACTCTCCGGTCAGCTGGGCAAACTCGGTCCCTGGAAGGTCGATGAGTCGAGTGATATTGCTAAGAACCAAATCCGAGAAGATCTGTGGATGCTCGTGTCTCAGCCTCTCCACGAAGAAGTCTGGGTTAAAGATCACAGGCTGGCTTGTGTTTGGTTTTTCCTGGCTGATAAACACACTGCATTTTGTCCCCCTGTTGAAGAAAAAGATAGATGGTGGTTTTTTTTTTTTTCATTTATCTTGAGGCACAGGCGGAACCTAGAATGTAGCAGTAAATTCAAAAGGGGGCGACATGTAAACAGCTATCATACATTACTTACTATAAGTTAATGTTATCATAACAAGTTGTTGCTGGTTTAGCCACATTAGCTACAGCTAACAAGTCGGATACAATCAGTTAAAAACAAAGATATTTTACTAGCACTAAACATCCGAGAGACCTACACTTTACATCGTATTTTTTTTTTTTTTTTTAAACTTGTTTATTTGACGACATACTAAACGAAAAGTTGCTACCTTCTGTCCAATTTGGGGTCGTTACGGGGATCGTTTTCAGCCGCCATGTTAGTTTTGAATCTTCCGCTGTTTTATTTTAGTCCCGCCCACAGCGCTGTCATTGGCTAAAATATACTTACGTCACAGGCAAGGGAGGGGCTATATTTATTGTGTACCTGTACTAATACCTGTGTGTACTAATAAAGGGGAATAAAACCAATGTAATTTAAAGTACAGACTAATTATAACCTTTTCAACAACAGCAGATTTATTTAGCATACACCTTTCAGGAGTTGATTACAAAGGCCAGTTGAATTCAAACATGCATTCACTTATTTTGGATAGATAGATTTGTTGAATAGGCACTTGCCTATCCAGCAGGGAGTCCAGTGAGGGAGCCAGAAGGAGCAATACATAAAATATGGTTATATTTTTTTTAATCTCAAAAATGTATATTAAAGTCAGGGGAAAGTCAAATCTCCAAGAGGCACACACATATTAAAGCCTTGGTGCTGAGAAGTAATTGCTCTGAAAGGTGAAAAACACCCATACACTGATGAGCCTCTCAATCTGGTGGCACAGTCTGGTCACTATAGGGAGATTCTGCTCAAATCTGGAGGCAAGACTGAGCTGCAGACAGTCCTCCTCTCTGCCCTGGCTTGCACCCTGTTTGGTGTTGTCATGTTTTTTTGGCATTTTACCTTAATTTCCTTTTGAGATATGTAAAATAAACTGGTTTTTCATTACAACTTATGTGTTTTCTCCCATCCTTTGTCCAGCCTTAGTTACTAGTTCTTCTTTTTCTAGTTTTGTCTTGTATAGACATAACCCACATGATTTCATCCACACTTTGTCAGTCATATCTTCTTCAGTCTCTACAGGTAATGGTGAAGATGTGAGCACAGAAATAATAATGAGATCGAAGTCACATTTTGCCCAGTTAGAATGAGTTCTATAGATAGATTGATTGATAGATAGGCAGAAATATGAGAGAAGAGAAGAGACATTATGTTCCACACAGAGAAAGATAATTTATTCATGTTGAAAAAGGAGACATACTGCAGTAAGCACTGGACACAGTGGCAATCAGGCTGCGCTCATAAATGGAGTATCCACTCTGTACATCATCAGGGGATATAGTAGCCGAATATTTATAGTGGCCAGATATATTTGACTCTTACAGCTAAGTAATCATGTTCCCTGCTGTTGGTCGTCATGACAACACAAAGACTTTTGTACTCCACTCCACTCCCTACCAAATCCAGACATTTGACAAAACAACAGATTCACAAAGTTATAAAAACTGAAAGTTCTGAAAGTTACTGTGTATCACGAAACCTACATGCACAATTAGTTGTGTTCAAAATTGTTATGTAAGGTTTTAAAAAAGATAAAATAAAATAAAGCACAAGATTGTGATAAACACTGTAGCAAACAACAATCTGTGACTCATTCAGGACGCTGACCCAGCAATTAACAAACACAGGCTATTGTAAGGATCAGAAATGTACAAAGTCTCATTTTACTCTAATCTGACCATATTATCCCTTAATTAATGGGTATGTCACACACGCTACCACATCTCGTCCAGTAATCTTTTGGGAAATTTTTGAAATGTGCTTTCATACTTTATATGACAAAAATGCATTCCTACATTGAATATCTTCATATCGATCACAATTGTGTAAGCTTTGAAACACTTAACACATTTCTAGCTAGACAATTTTTTTTTGAAGGAGCAGGAATGTTACTTGACAACACAATACAGGTAAAATCCACACATTCTGTAGACAGTAAATATTTGTACAATATTTTCAGAAAAACATTTCTTAAAACGTTTAAGAAACTCTTACAGAAACAAAAGAAATCACTTTTTTTGGAAGAAATATGTTGTTTTTATATCCCAAGGAGATGCTTTTGTAAAGTCTTGAACAGTGTGAAAGAGTAAAACACTTACATTTTAGAGTGCTTGTTGTTGCGGCTCGTGTTCAAAGGGGCTGTCATGGATCCATCCCTCTGATCTGATTTGTGAGGGACTGTATTTCTCTTTTTGTCCATCATCTCTCTATAGCATTTACCATCAATCATCTCTCTTGCTGTTGTGCTTGCTTCCTCACTGGAACTTCTCTGCCGCAGCCAAGAAATGTTCCCATACTTCCAGTAGCAGTGAGGCCTGAGCCTACCCAGAGTCCTCCAGCACGCCCTGCGAAATGTGTTGGAGGAAATACAGAAGAGCAGCGGGTCCAGAGCACCGTTGATATACCACAGTGGAAGCGACAAGTACGATTTCAGGATTGTGTAGACAGAAAGGACGGTGTCGGACCACACAACCACATAGACCTGCATCAGTGAGGATGCAATGTCGGGAAAGTTGCAAACAAAAAAGGCCACCACGACTGCACCTAGAAGACAAAATATACATTGACAGCTCAGTTGTCGCCAACATTATTTACTTTGCAAGGACATGTGAACAAAATTTGGTGTACCCCTTCCTGGAGTGACCCTGACACCTAGACCATCTACCAAGTTCTATGATTTGATTTACAATGCCAGAACCTTGACATAGAAACAGGTTTTATAATTTCCCTTGACTCACCCATGAGTTTTAGAGCTCTCTTTTCATTCAAAAGTAGCTTTCCATTCTGATGGCACTGGATGTCTCGTCTTCCTTCTGGATCCGGCCGAGTAAGACCCATGTTTCTCCTTTGACGTCCATTCCTTCTCAGGTAGAGCAGGATGAGCAGATAGAGTGTAAAGATGGAGACCAGTGGGATCTGTAGTTGACACGGTATATTGGGTCTGATGTTTGATACGGATAAGCAAATACAATCTGTTGAACAGCCCTTATCTTACCAGAAAGAAGAACACCGCTCTCAGGAGTAAAGCCCCTTTGTAGATGTGTGCAGGATCAGGCTCAATCATCTCACACATGGTGGAGACATGGAAGGCGTCTTTTCGTGTGGTGGCTGTGTAGTCCAGGATGCAGGCACGAGCTTGGTCATAGACCAGAGCAAAGGGTACTGCTGACGCGAGAGAAATGATCCATACTGAAAGAAGGCATGGCAGCCGAGACTTCTGTTGGAAAGGAAAGGGAAAGGGAAGAAAATTCCATTTGTTAGACCATGTTGAAGTTTTATGAAATGAAAATATGGGCTGCACTTATTTCATGTCAAGTGTCTTCGGCAATTTGGGAAGGTTCTGCATGTGGCCAATTTCCCTTCTTATTTCTTTTACATTTCATTCTGCGATACAAATATTGCACAGGTAAGAAGAATCCATTGTAGACTTTCTAACTGGCTTGGTTCAACTCTATATTTTCATCTTAAAAATCTCTTGTATGTGTATATTTTGAATATGAATATGAATGAATATATGAATGAATATTCCTTTTCTGGTGTATGCAGTATCTTGTGCAGTTTGTCTTGATACAATTCTTTGAGTATGAACATATTCGAATGTGGGGAATTAAACCATTTTATGTTATGTCACTATCGCAGAACACTATCATGAGGTGTTTGTGCAAGTTCTCAACCTTCAGGCTGGAGACAGACCACATGGTGTGGCAAATGGCTGCATAGCGCTCGGTGGTGAAGGTCATGATAACCCAGCTTGTGGTGGCACAGTACACTTGGCGGACCATGAAGTACACCTTGCATACCACTTGGCCCAGACGCCATGGGTAGCTCTCCCAGTAGTAGCGATACAAAGTCACAGGGATGGTCAACAGCTGCAGAATGTCTAAAGTTTAAAGAAAGAAGATGGTCATTTCACAAGTTTAACAAACAACTGCCAAAAAATATTGTCTGCTTGGAACAATAACATGTATCTGATACAGCTTTTCCACAAAAGAGGTTTCCATATTCAAATAATTAAAAAGGCATCTTTTTAATTATATATTATTATCCTGCTGGACACAAGATCAATCATATTTTAGTGTGAAGTCCATTCTCAGTGTATGTGCACTGGTGACTTCAAATTTCTGCATTACACTTGCAAATTGCAAGTTAAGTTGCATACTAGACCAGGATGTTCTTTTGACAGATGAAATAAGTTTTCCCCCTATATGTTCCAGATGAAATAAAAAAAATGAAGGCCCCTAAAATATTAGTGTGGAGTTAATTTGGCAGTAAATATTTGTTCATTCAGACATAAAAATGTAATTAAATTATACATTTCATTTTAATGATTTCAGTTTTGGAAGTACTGGTCTTCCAGAAGATACATATTAGTGTGTACCTGATATGACTAAGCTGAGGAGGTAGAAACGAATGGCACTGACTCTCATGTGAGCATCCATGAGGAGTGTCAGTATGCTCACACCATTGAATAAGACCTGTAGAGCATTAGGGGGCAGCATTTAGTGACAGAGTAACAAAAAATATTATTTGCTGTCAGCATATCATTAACCGTATGACTGTTGTTGCTGTAGTATTAAATGTTCATACTCCGCACAAGAAGATGATGCTGTAGAAGACGGTCATGGGGACAGCAATTGCCAGCGGCTCACTTTTGGTGACACTAATGTCAAGCTGTGGCGTCTCACTTGGGCTGACATTACAGCTGAAGAGGAATGAAATCTGCTCCGAGAGGTTCATGGTGAGGCAGCTGAATGAGAAGGCGAAAGATGTTATTGAGAAATGGATCTATAAATTGTTAAATTGCTAAAAATGTTTTAATAATGTCCAAGTTCCTCCACTATAATTAAAATAATAAGCAAGCATTATTCATAGCAAATTTTATTGTTTTACATTTTTCAGTTTTTAAATAAATGCTGCAATAGACACTTTTTCCATGGTAAATTTGGTGTGTATGATTCTAGTTCATCCTTTTTTTGGTGTATTGAAAATTTGTATGTGCTATTTTACTAAATGTCTTATAATAAACATATGGTCCATATAATAAGTATATTACTATACACAAATACAGTGATATTCAACTTCAGTTGTCAAAATATTATCCATTCAAGGACACAAACTAAATCCTTCAGTGACATATACAGCTCTGAAGATAAAGCAAAGCTTAACATTAGAGATCAGTGTGCACACAAATGATCAATGAAAGTCATTTTTCCCAAATTAACATCATTACTCAGAAACCTG